CCCACCCACCCATCCACCCACCCATGCAACCTCTTGGACCCAACCCCTGCAGGTCCTGGGCGGCATCGGCGCGCTGGCGGCGCTGCCAAACCTCGCGGCGCTGCGCGTTGACTGTTGTGGGGCCGACGCTGCTGGCGTCCCCTTGGCGTTCTGGGACGGTGGGCGGGCGCGTTGAGGGCATCACCATTTTTTGTCTTTGTAGCACTCCTAGATGTGCAGAGGCGGGCCGCTCGCTGGCTGAATGGGTCCGTCTCGGCTGCTGTCATGCATTTTTTTGTAACCAATTCAGGTGCATGGCATGCAGTGTTTTGACCAGCTTTGCACTGGCAACCCCTGCCAAACCCCCGCCGCCGCCCGCGCCCGCGCGCACCGCTGCCCCCAGGCCTCGCCACCCTGACCCGCCTGCAGTGGCTGTCGCTCGGCTGGTTCGAATCTGCGCGGCTCGAGGCGATCTCCCGGATCACCGGGCTGCGGGCGCTGCAACTCCGCAGCCTGAGCCGCGCGCCGCGCGCCGCGCGGCTCGCTGAGGTGGCGGCGCCGATGGTTCGTTTGCGGTACCTGGCACTGGAAGGCATGCGGCTGGATGGGGCTGGCGGCGGTGGCGGCGGGGCCGCCGGGCCGGGGGGCAACAGCATGGCGAGTGCGGGGGGCGGCGGTGGCTTTCTGGCTGACGCGCTGGATATCACGCTTTACGGCGGGTGGGCGGGGCCTGTTTTCTGGGTTTGTATGCATGCAGAGCGCGGAGGGTTTTTTCTGGGCCAATTTGGAGGTCTGGAGGCGCGTGAGTCGTGATGCGCTGCCTCAGGGGGCGGTCAGGGAGGGCCCCAGGGTGGCAGCAGGCCGACGCCTGCAATGGCCCAAATTGGATTCAGAGCCAAGGGCTGGGGCAACAGGACGTGGATGCCCGGGGTGCTGTGGTGCGCTGAACAAGGGGCCCGCCCTCAAGCGTGTCACCCCATTCGCATGCTGATGCCCCCACCCAGCGGGGCCCTCTGACGCACCAGCCGCACCGCCTCCCCTCCTTGATCCTCGCAGCCGCTCGCGTGTTTGGGTGCAGCACACCCTCGCGTCCGCGGTCCCCTGGCACCCGTTTGCCGGGCCCCTGCAGCGCCTGAGCTGCGTCACGGCCGCGCTGCTGCTGGCGGTGCTGCTGCAGGCGAGAATCCCTGGTTGTGCTCAGGGTTCAGCCCTGAGCAGGGTTTAGCCCCGAGCAGGGTTTAGCCCTGAGCCACTCAGTCTCGTGCTCGCTATTCCACTGCTGCTGCAGTCCTTCCAGCTCAGCCTCAGCTCTGCTTGGCGCCATACTCCCCTCCAAGTAGCCTCCGCTCATCCGTTTCGTGGCGCTCGCCCACGCGGGAATGCGCAGGTGCACCTGGGGCCGGCAGAGGCCGCCGCGACCGCCTTGCTCGCCTGGCTGCACCTCCTCCTGCTGCTCGCGGCCACGGTAGCGGCCGCCTCTTGGCTGCTGTTGGGGGCCCCGGACCTCCGCTGCCCCGGGGCGCGACTCATGGCGGCGGCGGCAGCGCGGCTCCTGCCGCGGCTGCGCGTGCGCACCGCGCCTGGCGTCGGGCCCGAGGGCGGCGCGCGGCGGCAGGCACGCGCCGACCCAGCGGCGGCGTTCAGGCGCCTGCGCTACTTGAGCCTGCGCCGGAGCTCCCTCTCAGGCCCGGTTGCCGCGGCGGCTGGCGGCGCCGGGCTCCGCGGCGGCGCCGCGTCCGTAATGTCTCTACTTCTTTGGCCGTTGCCAGCTGCGATTTCTCTTCGGTCTCTTAACTCTGCGGCAGGCAGACATGAGTGCAGCGGCAGCGCTGGCGGAGAGTGCGGGGCCAGCACCCAGCAGCCCTCCGCGACAGACAGCCGGCGGCGCGCGTGCGCCGCAGGCGGCGCCGCGCTGCTGCAGTGGGTGCTGCCGCGTGCGTGTGCTGCCGCGCAGCTTGCGGGCTCGGCGCTCGCCGCGTTGGGCCTTTCGCGGTTCGCGCCGTGCGCGCCCTCACACAGGGCCTGCAGCAACGCCCACGGCAGCAAGGGCTGCAGGGTTGCACGCCCCCGCAAGCCCCCGCAGGCGCGGCCGCCGCTGCAGTCGCTCCTGCTCGCGTGCAATGAGCTGCGTTTTGTCGACCTGACTTGCGTCGGCGGCGGCGCCGCCGCGCCGGGCGCGATGTCGCGGCTGGTGCGTGCGCTGTGGCGCGGCGGGCACGTGCACTACATTGCAGTAGCACAGCCGGCGAGGCTGCGGCTAGAGCGCCGCGCAAGCAGTCGACGTGGCTGCGGCAACGGCGGCAGCGGCGATGGCGGCGGCGGGTACAGCCACGCAGAGGATGAGGGCGGGGACCATGACCGCGGTTCGGATGACAGCTCGTCGGGCTGCGAAGACGAGTGCTGCCGCGCCTGGGAGGGACGGGGGAGTGGCGGCGGGCGCGCACGTGCTGGACACGGGTGGCTGCGGTGGCTCGGTCGGGGCAGCAGCAGCGGCGGAGGCAGCCGCGAAGGGACACAGGACCCAGCGTGGCGGGGGCAGCGCAGCAAGGGCACGGGCGGTGTTGCGCCACCAGCCCCGATTTTGCTCGAGTGCTCTGGCTTTGATGAAATTATTGTTCGAGAGCTGGGGTTGTGAGAGCTGGTACGAGGAGGAGAGATGCTTTGCGGACGATGCAGGAGACCACTGAGCAGGTTGGTGGAGTTGTAAAGCGGCAAGATAGGCAGGCTGCTGAGGGCTGTTCTTGCGTAGGGTGCAAACTTTGAATCTGTACGCACCTGGTTTTGTTCCAGTCCTGGCACACTCATTGTTGTTGTGGGTGAGCGATGGCGGCATGCATGTTCATTTGGACAACATGGGGGCACATAAGATTGTGATGCCCCGGCCCGTGTGCGGTACAGCAGGCACAGTTGTCACTTGCTAGTTTGCAGGATGTCCATGTTCTTTGTTTGTCAATAACCAGGGTTTTGTACCAAATATTACCTATCACTTCTCGCCAAAAGGTAAGCGGGCTTGCATCACGTAAAGTAAGATTGCTAATGATTGCATAAAAGCAGGCTGCTGTTGGCGGCAAAGAGCCCTGCAATGTACATGTTTGCAAATGGTGGAACGTTTGGAGGAGGGCTTGCCTCAAGTAACGGCTACTGCGCAGCACGACTTTGATAAGAGCACAACTCTACAAAACACAAGCCCAAATGAGTACAACGAGGCGGGCTCACACCACCTTGCTTTGCAATACGCTCACAACCAAAGTTGGGCTTCAAAGCTTGGACGCCACCCCCCCACCGCCGCCCATCGTCCCTTGCCGCCGCCGCACCATCCGCCCCCGACGGAAGGCCACCGCGGCGTTGCTGATGGCCGCGCCCTCGCGCCCCTTGATCTTCGTCTCAAACACCACCGTGTCGGATTCGGGCAGCGCCCACATGGCGACCTGTGGCAGCAGGAATGAAGTCAAAGTTTAGGTCGTGACTGCAGCGCAGTCGAGACTACAACAGCCGAAGCATACACAGATGGCGCATCTCAAAGCTGGAGAGCTCTCGCTATTGCGCGACTTGTCGGCTGGTGCTGACGCCGTCGGTCGAGTTGGCTGATCGACAAGTTTGAACAGCGATTCAACTCAGACCATCAGTCTTGCCTTGACCATCCGCCTGGCTCACCTGCAGGGTGTCCCCTGGGAAAACGTGCTTGGAGAAGCGCACCTGCAGGAGCCAGGCAGGGGTTGGACAAGGGGGGTTACAAGGTGATGCGTGCATGGTTGTCCGTGGGCACGGCTGCATGTGCACGATCGAGCATGCGTGGTTGCTTGTGCGTGTTGGGGTGTGTCCAGCTAGATGGGTGGGTGGGTGGGTAGGTGGGCTGTTGGGTCAGTGCGCACGTGCAACAAAGAGATTCACGAAAGTAAAGGGTCGTGCACAGGACTGTCGCCAAACACGTGTCGCAAGCAATCCCTTCAGCACCTTGACGCTTGCCACGGCTGCGGGGTCGCTGCCGCCGTACTCGCGCAACACCAGCCGCACAGAGACCCCCATGGTGCACAGCCCGTGGAGGATTGGCCGATCGAAGCCGACATGTGCTGCCGTGGCAGGGTCTATGTGCAGCGGGTTGTAGTCCCCACTCAGTCTGTGGATGTTCACGGTGACATGTTTGGCGAGGTACGGGCGGTGGTGGTGAACAAAGGCGTATACAGCAGGTGCGTAAACGATGCGGCAATCAAAGTGAGCCAGACCTGCCAAAATTGCTGATCGGGTGTCAGACTCGCAGCGCAAACGCCAATGTTGCTCGCACATGAGCGTCGACCGTCCGACGCAGACGGCGCCAAGCCCCACAGCCGGCACGATCCAAAGCATGGCGGCCCTGTGAACCAGGATCCCGAACCCGCCCGCCTGTACAGAGCCGCCTGGTCTGGCGTGGTGGCCTCCTCAACGACCAAGTCTGGCGGCCGCTGCGGCGGCTTGTTGGGAGCTGTCGCGGCGGGGCTGCGGGGCAGCGGCTGAGTGGCCCCACGGAAGGGCTGGGTGCCCAGCATGAATGACCTTGCAAAGGGGGCGTCGGCGGCAGGAGCAGCAAAGAAGAGGGCGCCGCAGTGCGCGGAGTGGCAGGGTGGAGGCGAGCTGGGTGCTGATTCATGGTGCACAGAGGGGGGGAAGCAGGTCCTGGACGGAGAAAGGCTGCCCTTGCCCTCCCTTCGACTCGCTTTTTGAGGCCCCAAAAGAAGGCGCCCTGGCCCCTCACAAGCCCCCTCACGTGAACTCATTAACAGCCAGAACGTGGCCCAGTTGTGCATCGCTGCTGGTGGTGCGCACCTGCAGGCACCACACAACACCCCAAAGTGACAAAGCTTGCGCATGCGTGCTTTTGCGCACATGTGTGCAAAGCAGTACGCCGCAGCAGCCACGAGCATCAGCGGGAAGCAAGGCTGTCGACGGCGCAGGACCCAAGAACGCCGGCGGACTATCGGTGCGCTGACCACGCAGGCAGCACGAGTGCAACTTTAGCATGTACGCTGCATGCCACAGCATCCGCCTTGTGATTCATGAAAAAGTGGTGCTCACCACGACAACCGCGCCCTTGCCCTTGTCCTGCACATCCACTACCTGTGGGAAACGGCGATTGCACGCCGCGATCACGCATCCTTAATGCAGAAATTGAGTGCTGTCTTACCTCCCTCACCGAGCCGCAGCCTGGCAAGCACCCTGCGCCAGCCGGCGCAGTGTCGTGGGGCACATGGCAGACGGATGTGGGCAAGGGACGCACAGCGCGGATGGCGGGTGTTGCCTGTGGGTGTTGTGTCACCTGTGTGGTGGTGGTGATGTCAGCACTGGTGGGGGGCCGCCCCTCAGGCAGCTCTATGTACTGCTCTGCGTGAAGGCCCTAGGGTGTTGATTTGAATGTCAAATCTGGGTTAAAGTGTGTGGATAAGAGTTCTTCAATGTGCGCAAAGGGTCTGGCAAGGACAGCAGAAACATACTTCTCTGGATGATGGTGGGACAGGATCGGCGCACGCACCCCAACCTCTTTACGGGCGAGAGAAGATCGGAATGCTCCTTTGTTGAACAAACACCCTTCTCATCCCACGACCAACGCGACACTCGCCTTTACGGCTGCGAGCCGCAAACGGCTGTGGAACTGCCTGCACCAGTTAATACCCCGCCTCCCCCACAGACCACTAGCCCTGCCAGCGTGCCTTTGAGGGGTCGCAGCCCGGGATGTAGTCACTCAAAGGCACTTGATACACCGCCGGGTGTGCAGGGATGGTGAAGAAGGTGGGCAGAGGCGCAAAGTCGGGCGCCCCCTCAAACACAGACCTAGGTTGTGCGTGAGTGTGCGAGACAGCCGAATGCGGCGGACGACTGCGATGTCATCACACGTGCCGATGGCAGCCTCGGCAAATCAAGACTGGGTATTGCAGACACAAATTCTTGCCAGACGTGGTCTGCTCCATCAAATCACCCGCAAGCCTGACAACAGCGGCTCCCGCGAGCCCCGAGCTTGCCTGAGGTCAGCTGCGCCGCAACCCACGCCCAGCGCGTACAGGCACAGGTCGCGCGGCGTGTAGTTGTGCCTATAGGCTGGCAGCCGCAGCTGCAGCAGCAGCTGAGGGTCCTTCATTTCGTCCTGATGCTGCGACATCTCACACGCAGGGCGGCGTGACCCTCTCGGCACCGCAAGCGAGCTACAACGGTAGAGCCTCGTCCTTGACTTCCACACACTAGGAAAACTGCTTATTGTCAATGACTATCGTAAGGTGCGAATGGCACATGCAGTGTGCCAGCGACGATCTCAAGTCCCAGTTACAATCATGTACGGTACCCCTCAGCTCTGGTTTTCCGAAAACTATGTACAAAAGGTGGGCTTGATAACTCTCCGCAGATTGACGCTTTGCCCATGCTCCAAGCTTGCTTGAAGCAGTGCGATCATGGGCCTACTGTATGGCGGAATGGCAGGTCCAAGTTGCCCCGGAGGTGATGATGCAGCACTGGGCGATGCAAACATTCTTATCTCGCCTTGTTGTGACATCACGGCAGTTGATTGCTCTGAATACATGGTAAGCTGCGATAATGCACGGTAAGCTGCGATAATGGGCCAGTGCAGGGAGCTGGCAGGAGGACAGGCACACCAGCAGGCAACACTGCCGCGACACAGAACCTCCGAGGGGGAGAGAGAGAGACAGAGAGTACGCAGGCTGCAACCCCCGCGTCAATTCAGGAAGAGGGGCTGGCTTGCGGGGGCACAGGCCGCCGCGCCGCCCCCCCCCCCGCCCCC